ATGTAAATAAAGGTGTTATAACACGAGCCAAATGCGTAATAACGCCTTGTAATAAATAAACGTAATAGCGCAAATAAAAAATTGTAGTAACGAGAATAAATTAGAGGTTAATACTTGGTTGCTGCTAGCCATTATGCGATAATGGCTCGAAGATGTGCATAATGGCCTGAGAACCTCAGGTCCGAAGGCGTTAAAGAACAATATTGATCTGAATTTGTTGATTAAGATATAGACTCGCACTGTAGGGTGAACGTTTCTGTATCTTTTGCTCGACCGTTTTTCGTGTAACGTGCGTATATCATGCAACGTGCGTTTAATGAAACACTTTCTCAAGCGTGCATTTAACGTTTATCGTTTTCCGTTTGAGAGCTGCGTTTGATATCGTTAAGCGTGCGTCTGCGTCCGTTTATCCTTTGGTCCAGAACTATTAAATAGCGTGTGTCTGGGTCTGTTATTAGTTTAGAATATATAGTCTAAGCGAAATGATGGTAAACTTTATATGATAATAATATTTGACAGTTCTTTTTTTTCAAGTATTTTTTTTTCTATTTATAACATTAATTTAGTTTTGTTAACTCTAACATTCAATCTAGTTTGTGACCCTATGATGAAGTATCACGAACACCGGACATCAACGCGCGTTATTCACACCGGAGTTTAGAAATTTAATTACATCTGTATTATATTTTACAGACGCCAAGGATTTAATTACTCTTCAATTTCAAAGTTGTTGTTACTTAAACATTCTGTGAAAAGTAGCAGACAGGGTGTAAGAATTTTTTTTGCAAACCTATCAACAAATGGGGAACGTAAATGTACTTAAAAGGTACAGTATGACTTTTTTCGTTTGTTTTTAAAAGTTATAGGCAACTTCAGTACAGTACAGTACAATCTTCTCGTTGTTTAGTACATTTTGCTTGAGAACATTACAAAATATTATGTCAATTAGTGCATTATACACAGATAAAAGACTCCATAATATCCCCTCGACATTGTTTTCAGAGACACCTTTCTTATTTGTGAATGATTGTGCAACTCTTGAGAAATAGGTTCTGAGCAACATTATTTATTAAACTGTCATTTTTATAATTCTAAAAGAAATCAGTACATTCCAAACTTAGTTGAAACTTCCTACTTTATTCAAAATATTCTATCATGTTACTGTAAAAGTAACATACTCTAATGAAGTTGTTTAAATTTGTACGCATAATAATTTCAGGGTATGTCCTAAGATGTATATAATTGCTATTTTGTCATTTATGATATCTCACTGCGTGTGTATAGATATGAACATGTCATATTTTTTTTGTTTTTTGTTTGAAAAAATAGTCGGTACCTGTTCTAATAATAGTTCCAATCAGTATTTAAATTTAAAAAAAAAAAATAGAAAAAAAAAACAACAAAAAAATAATTAACCTGTCTGACAATTAAGTGAAAATCTAGCATGAGTTGTCAGTACTTGCATTTATGACCTACTTTCGTTGTTTTTTTTTTCTTCCTCTAAGCAGTGAAGAAGTACTTTTGTAAAAATCACAATTACCGACTAGAAAATTCAATCAAAATTGATTGTAAACACGGCGTTATTGTGCGAATGCATGTTTTCACGGGCTCTTTTGTTTAAGATTTACTACTTAGAATGCAGCGTCGTACCTTTGTGCGAAAATTATGGGTTTTTTTTCTCTACTGTCGTTGTTTTTTCCCTAACATGATAAACTTGAGCAGTATCTTTGTTTTGTTTTTTGTTTCGTTTTTTGTTTTATAACCAGTGATGGTAATAATATAATTGCATGCAAGTGAGAATGTTTGTGTGGCAGGAGCATCTGAGTTCCCCCACAATCGGATGAATATTTATACATACCTATTCTATAATTATTGTATCATTTATGTTATAGACATGCTTTTTATACCGGACACTATTATAGCTGCATAATATTGTTCAACCTTATGTTTTATACTTTGATATACCTGCGTGAAATAAAGTTGTCTGTCTGTCTGTCTGTCTGTCTGTCTGTCTGTCTGTCTTATTTGTGAAGGGTTATTAACGGCCGGCTTTATTGTTATTGTAAATGTGTGAAATTCAAAGGACTAATTTAACTTTTTACGTAAAGATCAATTGTTATATCAATAAAAATAATAGAAAATATAAATGTTTGATATTTAACAATCAAGACTTTTTTAATTTACTAACTTTATTGTTATATATGAATATAACAGGCAAAATATTGCTGTTGAACGTTTTGAAACGTTTGGACGAAACTTTCACTTTGCGTGCGTTTCAAATCGTTTCGAGAAAGCGTATATCGTTTATCGTGTTCGTTTTGCGTGCGTTTGCGTATCTCGTTTGGTATAGCGTGCGTTCAACGTGCGTTCGTTTAGCGTGCAACGTGCATGCGTTTTTTCCCGAGCTTGCGTTTTGCGTGCAAACTGAAACGTTCACCCTATTGTATATAATAATACGTGACTGTATAATATAAATTTAAGATAATTATCATTCCATTTGTGCAGTAATAATGTTAATTATTTGTCATACACTTAAGAATACTCTTTGGTATTTGACAATATAAGGTAACTTGGTGACTTATAGGTCCATTAATACAGTTAATCTAAACCTTATCAACCTGGTTCTTCCATTATTTCTACTTGAATACTGTATAATAACCCTCAGGATATGTTACGTGCTTTTTTAATTTGTCTTTTGACGTCTTATCTGTGATATGCAAGCTTCATAAACGCTGAATCCCTTTATAAATTCCAGTTCATTTTGTTCCGCCTATTGCTTTCTCGTTTAGGGCACACGCATTCGTTTACTTGGTGACTATATGCCGCTTTTCGTGAAATGGCACTAATGTGTCACAATGAAGGTTCCATGATGACCACCGTATGGACACATCTGCAGATGTTCCTAAATTCAAAATTCCACTATTTCCGTATTTAAATGTTGAATTCTGCTGAAAGACATTTTCTACAGTTTTATGAAAATTTAATCCTTTCATAGAATTTTCTAAAAATGTTGTGTGATAAGTAAAACTTAATTGCGAATTCAAAAAGAAAAAGTAAAATATATGTTGACGTGTTGGATTTCTTGAAAAATGGCAGTTTCCATGATAACCGTAAATCTAAAAATTGTCAAAATAGCCAAACTGTGTTCTAACAAAAAGAAAATGTATAAGATAGCTTAAAACACACAACAAGCATTGTTTTATGCAAACCTTATCTAATGATTCTGTATGAAACAAATGATAATATGAACATATTTCCGTAAAAAATGAGTTTTCCATGTTCCTTAACCGAACAAAAAAAGAGAAAAATAAACATGAATTCTGTGAATAATTAAAGATATTGAAAAATTCTTTCATAGGATTTTCTAATTTTTTTTGTATGTTGTGTAACATTTAATGACGAATTCAAAAATAAAAAGAAAAATATATGTTGACGTGTTGGATTTTTTTTAAAATGGCAGTTTCCATGGTAACCGTATATCTCAAAATTGTCAAAATAGCCAAACTGTGTTATAAAAATGTATAAGACAGCTTACACACACGATAAACATAATTTTATACAAAACTTGCTTTATGTTAGGGTTCTGTATGAAACAAACGATAATTGGGACATATTTCTTTAAAAAAATTGAGTTTTTCATGCTTTTTAACTAAACAAAAAATGAGAAAAATTAACATGATTTCTGTAAAAAAAATAAAGCTATCAAGACATTTCTTTCATAGAATTTTCTACATTTTTGATAACTCAAGTAAAATTGTATGGTGGATTAAAAAATAGAAATAAAAATATATGTTGACGTGTTAGTTTTTGTTTTTTTTGGTAAACAGGCAGTTTCCATGGTTACCGCATATGCCAACTGTCAAAATTGCCACGCTTTCCAATTAAAATCAGTATTATACTAAATGTATTGTCATATATACAACAAAAACATGTTGTTATATAAAAAATCTTTTTCCTTGGATGTTATATTAAGTAAATGATACTGAATATGTTTTTTTAAAACAGTTATATAGGGCCATTTTAATTTTTCACTCGACTAACATACATGTACCCGAACAGTAGCAAGTATTTAAAAATTTACAAAGAAAAAATGAAATTCGGAACATTTCTTACATATTATTTTTTTTTTTTTATTCAACACTTTAAAAATATATTATTTTAAACTTCTTTGCCCAGTTGTCTGCCAGTAGTCAAGTGGCGACACACTTTTGTCACTAAACCACAAGTGGGTGGGGTAACGCGCGCCGAATCATCATCAATGCTGACGTACTAATGCTAGGAGAAATCCTTTATCTGATGTTGTCTAAACGACCTCTTATTCTTCTGAACCGATCTCCTCCTGAACATTTAGAAATATATATTTTGTATTATTTACTCGTTATTTGCTTATAGCCGAAATTTAAACATTACCGAGTACTATTCAATTTGACCTTCTTTTTGAAGAGTGATTATCCGTGATTATCTTTCTTGGAAGCGCATAACGATGCGCACAAAAAACTACCGAAAACGTCTTTAAGCCAGTGCTAGAGGGCATGGACGGCTACTTGTACTATCAAGTACCGTCCATGAACATGCTCAGACAAACCGAGTTTGCAGCATTTTCAAATTTGGCGTGTTAAATTATCTTAAGGGATTCTGCTTTTTTCTATTTCACTGAAGAAAGATGTTATTATTAATGTTATTTTGAGAAAAGGTTGAATCTTTTTCCAATATTTTATTATTAAATTCTGTTCGCATTTAAGATAAATTTTAAATCATAAGTCAATATTGTGAGGTTCAAATGTTCCATGTAAAAGACCCTGTTTAATTTTGGTAAATGCTTAAAAGATTGTGACAAAACCACACTTGTTTCAATTCAATTACTATTATACTATTATGTATTCATTTATTTATTAATTATTAATATGCATGGTTTAACTAAGCTTAGAAAAGAATATTTAATATTTGTTAATTTGCAATATATATATATAACATATATATATCATAATTATATATTTCAGATATTTCTTGTATGTTGTATATGGTTAAATGTTAGCAACAATCAGGTAAAAGGAGGTAACATAATTTAAATTAGTCTGTATAACAGATAGTAATGTGATATTTATCTTTGCTAATTTAAAACGTATACATAATTTAAGTAAAAAGAAAACACACATGAAGCAAATAAGGTGGTGGTAATGTAAATAAAATGAAATAGTGTTGTTTTCCCATTACAGAGATTGATGAGCAATGTAAAGTAGATTGTGCATGTTGTATAGATAGAAAATGTGGAAAAGGGCTGTGGTCTTCTACAGATTGTACTCTAGGCTGTATTGACGGTCATAGAGGTTTTCGGTGTTATGAACTATGTACACACAATTGTACAAAATGCTCTGTTGATGCAAATACGTGTACTGAGTGTTATGATGGCTATTACCCAGGCGCTGCCGGGGACTGCACATCAAGGTGTTTACCCGGATGTAAAACATGCAAATCAGGAATAACGTGTACATCATGCAAGGAAGGATATAATAACGCCGTTGGTCAAAATGATTGTAGTATTCGTAACTGTCCTGACAATTGTAATTGTTATAATGGTCAATGTGTGTCATGCCTAGACGGATATTATGATATCAGCAGATCATGTAATAGTTTATGTCCAAGTTACTGTGTCACATGTTCATCGAATACGGATTGTGGATCGTGTAGGGATGGCTATTATAATGGTTACCAGAACGACAACATTTACCACCCTTTTTTGAACGACTGTACTTCCAAGTGTCGAAATAATTGTGTACAATGTTCGTCCTATAAAAAGTGCTCGATTTGTAAAACTGGGCGATATGGATCAAACTGTGAGAACAGTTGTTCAGCCGGCTGTAGGTCAAACACTTGCAATATACTAACTGGAAACTGTGCATGTTTCCCTAATTTTGCTGGAGTGAGATGTGACAAATGCAATACCGGAAAATATGGAAAAATGTGCGAACAACAATGTCCTGCATGGTGTAAAGATAACGTATGTGAAAAAGATTCCGGAGATTGTACAGACGGATGTACTATAGACACGATTACTGGTGATAAGTGTGACGTCTGTTCAACCGGCTGGTATGGACACTACTGTAACATGTCTTGTTCTGTAGGATGTAAAAATCAGCAATGCGAGAAAAGTAATGGTGAATGTTCAAATGGATGTCTTGATAACTTTATAGGAGAACAATGCAATCAGTGCATTCATGGCAAATATGGTGATACATGCCAACGTAACTGTCCAAATAACTGTGACGAGAAGGGCTGCCTTAAAGATTCCGGTTATTGTATTAGCTGTCGTGTCAACTTTCATGGAGAGAAATGTGATAAATGTCGTCCAGGTTCTTTTGGCTCACTTTGCTCTGAGAGATGTCCGTCTAACTGTTTGAACCATGTATGTGACAGAGATTCGGGCACGTGTTCTGATGGTTGCATAAACAATTATTCGGGTGACAGATGTTGTATAAATAATAACAATTGTATCGCATGTTTGTCAGATACCAGGTGTAAACAATGTAAGTCTGGTTACTTCAATGGCCAATGTGACAAACAATGTCCTCAGAACTGTTTAAAGTCCTGTCATTTCGAAACCGGTCTTTGTGGCGGTTGTAAAAGTAACTTTTATGGTGAAAGTTGCAATTGTGCATGTGCCTCTACATGCAAGATTCAAACAACAGCGAATGGAAGTATATGTCAGCAAAGTAATGGAAAGTGTCTATATGGATGCATAGATGGTCTTCATGGTTCACAGTGTACTGAGAAATGTTCCGTTTATTGCAACGATATACTTTGTATCCAAGACGACGGCAAATGTACGAAAGGTTGCAAAACGAGAGTAAAAAATGACCACATTTGCCCTCTGGTAACAGGTAAGATAAATTAAAAACAGACAGCTCGATTTAGCACAATATATTCGTTATGTTTATGTTTGTTATACGTTAATGTCATATTATGTCTCCTCTGTGAATTTGTAATGATGATGATGATGTTGCTGTTTCCGCTGCTAATGATGATGAAAATAATGTTAATGATGATGATTTTAATGATAATAATAATTATAGTAACAACAGCAATTAATTGAGGTAATAGTACGACAAAAATTATAAACGTGTTATGTATAGATGAAAAGTATGCAATTTGTGAAAGCCAATTAAAATCATGACATATACATCATTTTTATGTCTTGATGAATTCATAGAGATGCACAATGTATAAACTTTTAAATATGTCTGATATATTACCCGTGTAGCACGCATCTATTTCTACGCTTAGATAATTGTGTTTTTTTTACCGATAATATTTTAGACTCAAGATCCTCAGAACAGTCAGTAAATATAGCTGCTATATCACTTGGAACAATTCTTGTTGTGTCAGTAGTTGTTAACATTATATTTGTGGTTACGTTGATTCTCTGGAAATATCGGAAAAGGTAAGGATTTTTTATTTATCCAACTGAATAAAAATCCAAGAAAGAACATAAATGTTGAAAAATACTGTACAAGATATGAAATATGTCAAAATTTTAAACAGTTTTTGCCTTTTTAGTTCCACTTTTCAAAAAGAGAAAAGTAAAACAAAGTGAAGCTATTATTGACCCTTTTGTTGGCTTTGCCGTCGGCGTCGGTATTGGCATTAGTAAACCTTTTGTCATGGTCCCTTTTCTCAGAAACTATAAAACCTATTCAATTCAAACTTGGTATACATGTTTATTGTCATTAAAATACACCATTTCAAAAGTCATTTCTATTTTTTTTCAAAGTTATGCACCATTTTCAACTTAGATTTTCAACCCAGATATTCCTTTTTGCAAAGGTCTTTTAATAACTTCCGACTTGTTATACGTGTGACAACATTGCAGAAGGGCATAAAATCCTATAATTGATTTCTGCAATGTTATGCCCTTTTTACTGTTTTCTTTTCCTAGGGTCCCTTTCTGAAAATCAATCACTTCAAACTTGTTAAGGTATTAGGACCCTAGTGGGCACTATCAGGAACTAAAGAATTGACATCATAGGTCAGATGTATACCTTAAAGTACACCTGTATGCAAAATTTAAACAAAGTTTACCGTACGGAAATCAAGTTATGGCCACTTTTCTGAACTCAAGCTAGGATGTTATGAGGGCCCTGTTTTAGAAATGAGGAACCTTTAAATAATCTGCAATAACATTCTAATGAAAAATGTTTTCCCATGAATTTTTGGTAAGAAACAAATACAGCTAACAATCCACATAAGCCAAATTATGGTTACTACTTAAAATTTATGAAATCTGTATAAAAATGTTACCCTACCCCACCCATTTTTACCACATGTCTGACCATTTTCTACTTAGGGAGGCTAATTAAAAAAATTCTTAAACTTTTCCCAAATGAGTTCCTGTTTTCAAAGTTTCCCTAAATTTTTTTAAAAAGTATATTTGTTGATCTTGTAAAATATGAAATACTTTTACCGTCTAGTTTTGATTATATTACACTTTGAAAATATCAGGTACCATATTTATTACTAGATTTAGCATAATTTGGCCAATAAATACCTATATAAATTAAAAATTCAAAATTAAACACTTTTTTCTTTCCATATGGGACATGAGAGATACATAAATAATGTTAAAAGGAAAAAAGAAAGCAAAAAAAGTTGACGTTTCTGGGGATTGAACCCAGGGCCCTCATTTTCAATGTAGTTAACAGTAATTCCAGCCTATTTGAATACTCTTGAAAGCGGAGGTAATGCATTAGGGTGCTAATACCTTAAACTTTTGACATTTTTAAATAAGAATGCATTTCTAAGTGACATATTACAATTTTTTTTCTTAGTTATACCCACCCCGTTTTGTCTTTACTTTGAATTCCTTGATTAACTTTTTGCTGAGTTACATTTCTCTTAAGCAATCAAAGATATTCAATTTAAATTAAGAGTGCTAATATCAATTTGAAATGCATTTGTAGGAGGGAGATAATCCTGAAAGCATTTTTTATACTTTTCACACAAAAAACGAAGTCAGCAAATGCAGCACATCATTATATTTTAGATTAGCTTTGCAGTACCAATCATTTAAAATTACTTTTATCCAATATATTGTGTTTGCAACATGAATATATTACAGTATAACAGTTTTAAAGTACTGTATATTTATCAAAAACAAGTCAAATTATCTAAAAGAAAGAAGTCCAACATTTTATTTACATTACAGGGTCAATGATACTCACAAGACGAAAGAACCTGCTTATGAAAACTCTGGTAGATATATATCTTATTTTAACAGAAAGTTAATTTTTTCCCTGATGAATTATATGTTCTCCATATCCTTTTTACACGGTCAGTTCTTAAATGAATTCCTTCCTAACAATATCATAATATGTTCTTATCACCGAGTTTTAAAAGGAAATAATATAGGTGAAATAATAACAAAATGTTTCAAATATTTTCAGGTATTGAACTGGAATGCGGAAATTTGGAGAATGCTGGCAGTGCCAGCAAGCATGGAATTGTACAAGGTATTTCCTGTTGTTTTTCTAGACTTTTAATTGACTTATTCAGATCCTTCTTTACATTTCATTTAAAATATATGTTATTACTGACAATTTCTTTCGTACTTATAATCACACAATAAGATATTATTTTTCTTCTTCTTACTAAACTCTAAAACAAAACAAAAATACTAAAACAGGTTTTTGTCTATTTGTACTTTTTTATGAGTTGCTTTATTCTTCAATCATTTTTTTTTTCTTTTTTTTTCTCCTTTTTACTGTTTGCTCTTTCATATGTTACATTGTTAAATACTTAACTCTTAACTATTATGTGAATATCAACTAACCGTTGTGTATGATGATGCCATGAACTGTGTTATTGTAAATTAATATAACTGGGAGAGGACATTCATAAGCTTTATAGCTTTTTGCCCAATCCAAAAATGTACTTTGTAAATATTGTTCACTTTTTCAATGTTTTGTTGAATAAATATGTTTAAACCTATCACATAATACGCATTGAATATCATTATGGGTTGAACGTGTTAATATGCGAGTTTAGGCATTTGACTCTTATTTCATTTAAATATATTTAAATGGAATGTAAATTCATGCTTTTTTGCATAACTGATTCTGATGTCCTCGTCAAATATCATTCATCTAGCCGTTGCATTATATTAAAGTTAAAATGTTTTACAAGTCTTTACATCATACTCGCAATATAAATGTACGGGAATTGTAAGTTGTCTTTATTAATGTTCTATTTGTTGTTTAAAAAAAATAGTAGCATGTATTCAAAGCGTAGCCTGTATATTTCAATCATATTTTACAATTCGTTATATAGTCATTAACTCGTAAAGTTGTGTGTAAGTATTTAAAAAATATCAGTATATTGAAAGGTTTATTTTTCAGCAACAAAGAGCGACACTGTGTTAAAGTCATCTGACTATGAGGATCTTGGAAGAGTTCAAGGTATTTGTGAATTAATTGGTCAGATCATCAAAGTTATTATTTATCAATATGTAAATTGTTTATATAAACATTTTGTCTACATTTTAGTTGGTTTCATGACTTTAAAATATTTTTCCTTTCCTTTCGTTTTTTTTTTACAGTATCTGAGCATGAATATGGAGAAATTCGTACAGACACTTGATATCATTGATGTACTTATAACAGTAAGCACACACGAAGATAAATGGTCATCAACAACAATGAACTGTATTAAAAGAGTCAGACAGACAACAGAGTAACAATTTAAATTATAAACAATGGACGACATTTTATCAAACACAGAATCATTCTTTATTGTATAGTGCTGAATATCTATTGTTCATACTTTCTTAAAAAGCATTTAAAACATTTGACTGCATGTTGATATTTTGATGTCCGCACTTTTGAAGGCATAACAGTTTCATATAACGGATGTCCATACTTACATAAATGTTATTCATTTTGTTAAGTTTTAAAAGTTTGTACAACTGTGCATGTGATTTTTGTGCCCCAACTTTAGTGGCGGGCATTTAGATTTACCCTTGTCCGTTCGTCAGTCCGTTCTCTTTTGTGTCGCATGTAACTCAAAACTTATTTGACCTAGAGTCATGAAACTTTACAGGAATGTTGATCAGCATGTGTAGTTGTGCACCTGGGTATTTTTGTCTGGAT